AAAATATATATATTTTTGTTTTCCCCTTTTACTTGTACACGCATTTGTGTCTCTTAAATGTTTATTTCATCATTTTTTAATTTCTTCCCAAATGTTTTTATTTCCATGTGCTTTTACATTTCTCTGTCTCCTCTACTTGACCTTATGCATTTCTGCATCATTATGCAAATAAGGTGGGCGGGACCTATTGGGTCTGCATCCTCTCCATTTTAGTTTAGCTTTAAGTTTCAAGTTTAGTTTTAAACAAAGTGTCTTCCTCCTTGCCTTTGTTTTAAACTAAACTWTGAACTTYAAGCAATGAGAGCCAGCTACCAGAACTACAGTAGGTACAGAGTGGGGGTACAATTTGGCAGAGGGACAAATCAACAGGCTCACACAACCATTAGTTTCTTTTTAAATGTATGTTTGATAATAGAGGCCAATTTGGGGAATTGGGCAATAAACGTTGATATCAAAGGACTTGTTACCTTTTCTACAGCATTGATCAAAAACAGGAGAAAATGTCAAATAATAAAACTTTTAAACATAATTCCTTCAACCTGTTCTTAACTGGAAGTTTTGGGGCCCAAAAAAAGCAAATGTGGAAAGCAACCATCTAAGAAAAAGCCACACTTGTCTAGTAGATTTTGAGATTTTCAGTTTGAAGATCTTTCAAAGTTTTTTTTTTTTACTTTAACAGTATTGAATGTATTTGCTTAAAATTTGAAAAGTGGTCAAGAAAAAATCAAAAGAAACATCTGTTCTAATAAAACTACAGCAGATGAACAGTAGCTAAAAGTGGTCTTATAGATAAAGTAAATGAAAGGCCTGAGACATGATTCGTCCTTCCGTTGATCATACATTAAACTTTTAGCTTGTAACACTAAAATAATTATCTTGCCTGTAGTCAGTAAGTTTTTACACCAGATTCACTCACACTATGCTCATGTTGAGCTGTACATTTGTTACTGTTCAAAACCTACTGTTTAACCAGGCCTCCCGGTGAATTGTTGCCATTTCCTTCACCCATTTCCTCGTACCTCGACAGAAATTGCTCCACAACAAAACCCTGAGAGTTAACAGCTCACCTCAAGACTCCTGCCAGGCAGGTCGAGACTTTTCCTTATCTGCCACATTTTCCCTCATTGCATCAGTCTGTCAGGCGACTTTGGGGAATTGGGCAATAAAGGCCTTTTGACACACGTCTGTTCGGTGGAACGGCTACTGTATATGGGTCATGTCATGCACCAGAAAATCAGTCGTTATCCTGGAATAAAACCCGGAGAGGCCACTGTGAGTTGAAGTTCATTCAGCAGAGAAGAGAGGGACGTTACCTCAATGACCATCCATGAATATTTTGARCGTAATTCTGAAAAATGCTTGAGACTTTTCTAACTCAATCATCGTAAAGATAAACGACTACAGTTTATAGCAACATAAAAGCAACTTCTCTGACTGAAGACGTCCATTTAGTATCCAAATGCAGAAAATCTTTATTTTTAGCAAACAAACTCAAACATTTTCTGCTCCCAACAAGGAATCAGACAAGATTAGAATCYCTGAGAAGTTATAAACCTTTGATCATTCACTCTTTTAGATTAGAGACATTTGTCAGATGCAAAAGGCTGTTTTATGTTTTTTATTTTTTTTACTTGCTCCACACAGTAGGAAGGCTCTGAATAAAATCTTGACTGCCACAGTTTCCCAGTACATGCGTGGGTTTAGTCCGAGTACTCCACTTCCTCCTACGGTTTCAAAACAGGCGAGTTAGTTTGGTTATTCTAAAATAACTGTACAGGCAGAAGTTAGAGACCCAGTTTATTTATTTATTTTGTTTTTATGATACACACAAATAATATGCATCTGCATTTGTTAACACTTTGTAACAGCTTAAGCTGT